GGGAACGGAGCCTCGCATGGAGCCGGAGCGGGGGGGCAGGGTGAGCCGGCGGCACGTACGAGGCAGGACGGGCTGGAAAGTCTTCTTGAGAGGTCGAGAGAAAGGTCTTTAAGCAGATCTTTATTTTTTTTCCATGCTTTAAAAAAAAAAAAAAAAAGCAACCCCCAAAAAAACAACCTAAGAAAAAGCCCCAACACCTGAAAGCAAACTCACCATCATTATCTTTACTGGCTGTTCGGATGGAGCCTCGTGGAAGCACGTTTATTAATGAACACGAAACGTGTCTTTGAGAGCACAGACGCTACATTGATCTCTGCTCGCAAAGCCCCAGCAAACTCAAACCCAACAAGTCCCCAGGGATTCACATCCTGGGCAAACTCCAGCGCCCAGGACAAAAAAAGCATTGAAATATATAAATTCCTTTTTCACATCATCTGCATTCTTGGTCCAGATTCTACCTTGACCCTCAAATATGTAACGCTATATTTAACCCATTAACAGGCACCATTATTTCACCGGGGTGGGTTGTATGACTGCGAGTACACATGGGCATTTATGGTTAGCAGCTGTGGAATAATTTTTAAAGTCATGATAAGTTTTATTATTTACACTTTCTGGGATATATGAAAAACACCCTATGCAAAGAACAAAACTGAGAAGCTGCTAAAACTGAGAAGCTGCTGCTCCAAACTTCAGAGCATTAGAACACATTTATATATAAACTTTTCTTTCTGTTTATATAAGATTTTGGTTTAAAATGTATTTGAAATAGGATGGTGCACACGTGAATGTAACTTGCTCCGTAAGTGCAGTTAGTATGTTTGAATTTACTTTGGAAGAAGTTTTGTACCGCGTCCAGCCACGCGCCAGTCCCCATCAAGGAGAGCCTTGTGCGAACCCCTGCAGCCAGAGCAGAGGTTCCTGGGTGAGATACACCCATGCACGTAGGAATAATTCAGGTAATCAGAAAGTAGGTACAAGCTTTTACACCAAAACGCCACGGCACGTTGCTGACCTTCAGGAGGCGCTGTAAGAGCCATCTGCTTCTCTAGGCTTTTGAAACGGCAGAGGGACCTGAACGGGTACGTAGACCAGGAGGAGGTTCGGCTCAGTCAGCTCTGATCAGGTCGGTGCACTTGCGGAGTACAGGACAAAGTTTCCTTTTTCTGATTGCCCCCGTCATCTAACTTCTGTTTTGCAAAATATGTCACATTCATAGGTGTCATTAAGCTTCTAAGTTGTTCTCCAGGTTAAGACACGGGGAAAGCTTAGTGGTATTTTTCCAAGCTGCCTTCAAACTCAGAAAGCTACATTTGACTTGCAAACGTTTAGGAAGCAACTGTAAAAATTATAATGAGGGTCATTCATAAAAAAAATTTAAGGCAAATTTTGTATTATTTTTAATCTTCCTATAACTGAGAGGGGTAACAAAGTCCCACCTCTAGCTCAGCCCCCAGCAGGGGACAGCATGTATATTGGTCTGGTTTTATGGACCACGTTCAACAGGATTCCTAGACAGCAGAGAATACGGGACTGAATCTGTATAACTGAGGAACCACAAATCTTTAACACCTTGGACTTGCCTGAGCGAAGGTGAGAGAAGAAGAAATTTGTCTCTAGCTGTCAGAATAAGTTTTTCATTAAAATGCTGTAAGGCTTTTTTAAGACCAAAAGTAAACTGCTTGTGCAGCACTTTTAGCAGAGCTGCACAAGAAAAATCGCAAAATCCCTCCACAGATTGTGGTCTTCCAGCAAATACAAACCACACTGCAGCTTTCCTCATTGCAAATAGGATAAGAGCAAATACGCTGACAAGGAAAATACAAGTCTATGCAACTTCACATCCAATTTAAACGAAGTTCACATCCATTACAAGCTGGGAAGCATGTTCATATTCAAGAGGAACCTGTTTTCCTGCACCTCAGCAGAACATCCTAAAAGATAAATGAGGTTTGGCCTCTTTTGGAGTAGGACGTTCACTCCTGCTTTCCTTTGGGAATCATGTCAGCATAAGAAGCGATTCCTAAAATACAACCTAGAAGAAGGTTTTTAGGTCTGAGTAAGCCTAAACGTGGACTCACCCCACGTTGTTTTTGAAGTAAAACTGTGAGTAGCCTCTGGAGCAGGGACCTCAGGAGGTCTCTTGTTCTACCTGCTGCTCAGAGCAGGGACAGCTGTGGGGTCAGAGACGGTTGCTCAGGGCTTTATCCAGTTGGGCCTTGAAAATTTCCAGGGATAGAAACCGCACAACCCCTCTGAGCAACCTGCTCCACTGCCAGCCTGCCCCAACGGTGAAGCAGTAGTGTGGCGTTGGTTGTTGGAGGGTTATCGAATGCCTCCAGAAATAAAAGTTAGGAGCTGAATAGGGGTATGACTGTCAGATTGACCCATTGCCTGGTGTAGGAGAAAGGCAATAAGCAATTACTGACATGTGCTACTGCTCTTTTATTGATTCCAGGTGTACAATGTTCACTATACTATGAGCATTAATGGAAAAGTACAAGATGGATCAATGGAAATAGATGCTGGAAACAACTTGGAGACATTCAAAACGGGAAGTGGGAGTGAAGAGGCTGTGGAAGTTCATGATTTTCAGATTGTAAGTAGCACCACTTTTGTCCTTCACATAACATGCTCCAGCGCTGGACTGTAAGAATCCCCTGCCCTGCCCCGATTTCTCTGCCCCAGTCATTCTCAGGTGCCAGCCCCCAACTATTCACACAAACATCCTTGCTCTCCCAGCTTGCTTTCACAGCAAGGCAGGCAGTTTCCTCCAAAACAAAGTCTAAGTGCCTTTTGAGGACAGGCTGTGCCAGGTCCCACTCTGGGAAGCAGTATGGATCAGGCTACATCAGGTCTAGCTCCACATAACACTTTGCATTTTCAAACCACTGAACAGAGCTACATGTGCCCTTGGGGTCTTGCTAGAAAAATGCTCTGGCAGGCTGCGACACAGCCCATGCATGATATCACATGATTTGAACTGGAAAAACCACATCCCCCCCTCTCCAAAACATCACTGTTTTAGGAGTGCAGGGTCAACACAGTAAGCCAAGTAGACACCAAGGAGAGACCACTATACGGTGCTGGACCCAGGCAGCTTGCCCTTCCCCAAGATCAAGGGTGGGAGCTGCTCTCCAGGGCTTGGCCTGGGTTCATCCCCAGGGGAGAGGATGGAGGCATTTAGCACAGCTTATGCATCTCTGCACCAAATGCACCATGCTGGGCCGCTTGGGCTGACAGCAAACACATTTGGGTACCCCAGCAACTTGTCTGCGGCTGCTCAGCACGGAGCCTGGACTAACAGATGCCAAATCCCAGCAGAGCTCAACAGCTCGGGTAGTGTGGTTCCCCGAGCTGTGCCACCTCTGAGCTGCTAAAGGCACATCTATGTGATGTTGCAGAAACCTATTTACAGGGCCCAGATCCTGCAATTAATGTTCTCAGGTGCAGAACACTCAACTTCAGAGTTAAGTCCCCTCTAAGTCAAAGCAGCACCTAAACTAAAGACGCTGCTGCTAGGAAGACTGACCCAGGGCTTCTGGGGCAGCCGTCTTCCCCTTGCCGAATCTAGAAAGGTGAGGAAATTCAGCTCCTTGGCTTCTCAGCAAGTACAAACCAACCCACACCAGGAGACCCAGGACCCCGACTTTCCCCAACAGCTGACTTTCCCCAACAGCTGCGGCTCAGCCTTTTACAAAACTCTCATTAACATCACCATAGCAACATTATTAGCAGCTGAATAAGAGCATCCACAACGAGCTCTTCTCATTTGCCTTCGCCATTCCGCATCTGCACAAAAGCGCCAGCCCACTGGAGAGATGCTGAATTCATATTGCCTCCGTGTGCGCTGCTGGTAAGCTGCCGCCTGTCACAACCAGGTCAGAAATCAGCTCCCAACACCAAGCAGCTACAGGGACCTCCCAGGGACGGTGCCCGCTTGTAATTACAGCGGGCCAGGGACAGGCTCAGTGAGAGCAAAGGGATGCTGCCAGTTGGGTTTTGAGCCAAGAACGCGCATAAAGGAGAAAGAAATTGAAGAGACACGCTTCCAACAGCCAAGTATTTACATTAGCAGCTTTGGGCTGACTGGCACGGCTCGAATGATTGCACGGTCGGTGAAGACTTGGATTTGGCAGCATTAGGATACTCCTAGCACGCTCGGTGCACCACAAAGTCTCATTCCCTTGTGCACTCACCCCTGCACAGCCATCCCCTCTCTCACTGCTTTAGAATTAGACATTTTGCGTTGATGGGTGTCTGTCCAACTGTGCAGGACTTGCGGGCACACAGGACGAGACTCAGGTGCCTCAGTACCCTCCATCTCAAGCTGCAGCAGATGCCTAAGGCATCCACGATGCCCATATGAGGAAGATGAGAGGGGTCATGATGACACACATGCCCCCCTGTCCTGGCAGCTAGAGGCTAGCCAGAAAACCAGCACACCTCAAATGGTATGAGATAATTATATTTAGACGGTTGAACAGAGCTTGTGCAATCCTATGAAAAACAGAGAAGCTTTGCCATCTACAGCGAGGTACCCAAACTCACAACGTGAAAGAGAGCTCTTTTATGGACACCCAAAAACCGACAGCAGAAACACAGAAACTACAGACAAGGTTCCTGTGCCAAAACGTTGATGCCCAAGGTGCTGCCACAGGGCTGGCAGACGTGACCCATGACTTGCAGGAGACCTGCAGTCCTCTGGAGCTGCTGGGATACCCTTCTCACTAGGCATCCGTGGTTTAGGCAACTGCATTTCACCCTCGCAGGCCAGATGAAGGAAGTCCCACACAGAGATTTCTGCACCAAATTCCCCATCACAAGCTTCCCCTTGCTGTCACAGCCACTTATGTGAATAAATTGGACCAAACTGCCCCCGTATTTTTGTAAATCTGTGTCATAAGGCTACCGCACCACCAGCTAACACCATTTCAAGGCTGCCTACGTTAGGTGCTAAGTTACAGTTCAAATCATGTCAACTAATTCCTTAACGGAGCTACTCCAAGTAGCCTAGAGCGGGCATGGAAGCACTTACATAAAACACCCCCACCTTTCAGAAATTGAGTGAAAACTTCTAGACCCATTTGACCAAAATTGTGAAGCTAAAGTGATGAGGGAAGAGAGTTTCATTGCATCTGGTTTTAAATAAGATTTAACCTTCAGACTACAAATTCAGTGGCAATTTTAGCAGAGCTTGAGCGCTTTCTTGGGGGCGGTGGGGAGCAGGAGGGCTGCGCACAACCCCCTGCCTTCTGCTTTTGCAGGGCATAACTGGAATCCGTTTTGCTGAAGGAGAGAAGTGTTACATCAAAGCTCAGCCAAAAGCTCACGTCCCCGAAGTTGATGCTATGACTAAAGCGAGCCTCTCATCTGAGCTGGTAAGGGGTAATTTACTTACTTATTTAAAACCAAACCTTTGTATAGCAAGGGTCTGTGGATAGTGGTAGGGTTGTTGAGGGTAGGGTTGGATAGGTGAGGGTTCACTGACTGATTGCAAGGGATCCCCGAAAGGTAAGAAAAGCAAGATTGGTGTCAGAGGCGTCACTGTTGGGATACTCTGTGTCCAGAGGCATCACGAGAGGCTGCAGATTAGTGAGTGGGGGAAGCCATGGACCAATTTCTACCAGATCCACCGGCAACCTCAGTGGCAAGAGCATCTGCCTGAGATCAGGCTGTGCACAAGGCTGGAAGGGAGAGCATGGAAGAAGCTGTTTTAGTCAATGCAAAGAGGGATCGTGGTAGATCCCAGATTTCTAACGCTCTTGGCCAGAAGCAGGGACTCCATCACTCAAGTCCTCTGAAATAGTCAATAAAGGGGAATTGTGGAAAATATTATTGCAAAAACTAAGTCATAAGAATTTACCTTTTTAGCATCAGACTTCATTTTAGGACATAGTATTAACTAAATTTCATGGAATCTGCACTGCAACCACCACAAAAGCTGCAGTTCTCACCCAGATATCACCAAAACCTCTCCTTACCTCACATTTGTAAAAGAGCCTATCGCTTTAGGTGTGCAAAGCCCGAGTATCCCAGAGCTCAGACCCCCCAGCCCACCGCTCACACAGGAGTGGCTCTGGTGACACATGAGTATGGCTGAGCCTGGATGCTGGCATGGGCTCAGGAGATCCACAACCCCTTTCTCTGGGTTTGCTCTGCTCCCAAGAGAAAGCAGATAAAAATTAGCTGGGAGAAAGGCGCTGTTAAGGCTGCACCTACCCGCAACGGTGCTGTGATTACCCGACATCTGCTTTAAAATGAAGAGGAAAAAGGTCTCTCTAAATCCAATCAGCAAGGCACCAGCAACCGTACAAAGCCCCAGTGGGATTTTCCCCATGATGGGGAAGAGGTCTTGCCCAAATTCCAGGCAGACCCCTACCTCTTTCCTGCCTTGCCTTATTTTGAAGGCTCGACTTCATCGGCATTATTGCCTGAAATCAAGGTTTCAGTTTTTCATCTTTTTCTAAGAATGAAGTCACAGTCCTGAAGACATTATAAGAATCAGAAAGTCATTTCTAATCTTCTACCTGGCTACAGTAAACCTATTTCCTTGTCTTGTTCCTGGTGCATCTTCTCCAAAGCTGCATCACCTACACAACCTCTGCAATAAATCACATGCACCGAGGCCAAAACAAGCGGCCGACTTGGTGCTGCGGTTGGGATATTAACCTTCCCCTGTTGCTCGACCTTCCAGGCTAGATGTACAAAGGGAGTGGCAAAGTAGTATTTCTTTTTCTAGAGCAAGTCCTCTCTCTGATGCGCACGTATTTAGGAGAAAGCATGCATGTGCCGTTTTCTTACAATGTGTATCATAACCAACACTGTCTATAAAAATGGCTGATTAAAGTAAGCTTTTTTAGATACCCAAACTCTGCCTGCTCACAAGTCAGGATCGTCTCAAACAGAAACAAAGGATATCTTTACTTCTGAAAACCAGATTCAGGTATTTCTGATGCTGATTAAAGCTTAAGTGGGAGAATATAAATAAAGAGCACTTCTCACTAGACAGATTGAATAGCAAACTTAAATGACTTGAGACCTACAAAAGAAATCAATAAACACACTAAAGGAACAACAACGACGGAATAAATTGATCTAGTCAGTTACATAACGAGTTGTGATGACTTTTACGGAAGCAATTTAGAATTTTAACTTTGAAATCATACTGGTTTTCATGATTCAGAAGTTGGGTTTTCTTTTAATATTTCACTGTTGCTGTAAAATACTTACACATTTTATGTAAAATAATACTTTGAACTAACAACTTTAAAGAATCAATCACTGGCATTTTCCTACACTACTTTGAAGATATGAACCGAAAACCTGCAGGGTACACTTCAAAAAGGCAGGCTCCTTTAACTTGCACTTCAAGCTTTTGGTCAATTGAATTGCTTTTACCAAATGAGACCTTTAATCAGACCGATCACATTGACTTGACTGGAAGCTGGAGCAGTCCTCAAGCTATAATCCTCTCCAAAACTTCTGAACAAGATTTCCCCCCCCTTGTAAATACAGTGGTATCTTGGCAGTACATCAAATGAGAATAGGGGATGATAGAAGATTAGGGTTTTGTTTTAGCTGCTGTATTTCATTGCTGCTTTGCTGTTCACAGTTTCTACCGCCTGAAAATCTGGTGCTTTGGGCTGACACCTAGTCCTTGTACACGGGGCAAAGACAGGTAAAATCTTAGCCCCAGCAAAGCTGACAGTAGTCATGCCATTCATTTCAGTGGTGGCAACCTTTACTTGGGCTTTGGCTCAGTACAATCAGTTCACATTCATGAAATACAAGGTTGGTTGGTATTAGCTGTGGCAGATGATTATACAGTTTGATGCTCAAGAATTAAGAGCAAGCAGGCACATGACTGTTCACCGAGCAGCAAAAGATTTATGCTCTTCTATTTGCAGGAAGATGAAATCATGCCTGTGAGATTTGATGAAAACTCCCTTATCTGGGTGGCTGCAGACGAGCCTATCAAGCACAACAGTTTCCTAAGCCCCAAAATTTTAGAGCTTTGCAGGGATCTTCCAATTTTCTGGCTGCGACCAACATATCCCAAAGGTAACACTTCTTTTATTTGAAAAGTATGTTATCCCTCCCTTCATCTAAACGCCTTCCCCAAATCAGGTCTGCCACCAAGACTTGCACATCTGGGAAACCAGGATCCTTTCCCCTTTTGCCCAGCCTTTCCCAAGCCCTCGTGGGCTGGTGCTGAGATTGCAGGTTTGGAGTTTATCCACGCTTACATTTTCCATATTTATATTTCCTCAGACAATTTATATAGCCCACGTGGGTGACTTAATAGGAGACGAAACATTCCCAGAGAGGTCAACCTTCTTCTACAGAAGGACAAGACAACAGCTTAAACCAGGCCCCAAAATGTTTAGGCAGCTGACACCAGGCAGCAGGAACACTACACCTGGCCAAGAGTCAGGGAATATCAAGCTCCTGTTCTGGGACCACAGCCTGTCCTGTTTCCTACCCTGCTCCTCCAGAGGATTTCAGCGGAGTGGAAGGATGAGATGCTTCAGCTAGCCAACCGGTGGATGAAGTTCGAGGTCCTAGGGGCAGTCCCAGGACTGAACTACTCCCATCACCCAGAGCCAAGCTTAGCAAAGGTGTTCAAGAGTCACCAGGGAGATGAAAACTTCTCCAGGTGACTTCCAGGCCTGGGAGGAGAGGAAAAGACTTGAGAAGATCTATTCCTCCTTGGTCCTGTTAATATGAGAACACTCAAGGAGGTGTGGATGGGGTGAAAAAAAAAAATACGAGAAAAAAACCCATCACATTTTACAGCACCTGTGGATCCAAACTGCCAACATTTTCCAGTTATCTCACGACCTTGCATATCCCACTGGGTGACAAAAGAGCAGCACCGAAACTGCCAGAAGCCGTTTCCACCAGGTTCACCCGCTGCCCTTGGGAGCGGGGCACCACGCTGTCACAAAAGCACTTTAAAAAAAAAGCGAGATGCGTATGACTGGTCTTGCTAGTGCCAGCAGCTGCTGTTCAGTTGATATCAGTGACCACAGGGTGGGTCAAAAAACCCAATAAATTTCCTCACACCCATTTTGCCTCAAGGGGAGGAAGAGGCAGGGCGGGGGGGGCGGGGGGGGCCACCAACCCAGCAATCTTGTACCCCTTCGGACTGATACTGGCTGCAGATACAACACAGGAAGGCAAGCAGCTCCCATGGGGATGCTCATCAAGTTTGCCACCACACAGTTCCATCTTTCTCTCTGCCCCCTGCCCTCTCCTTTCTTTTTTTTTTCTAAAATATTTAAAGAAATCACTGAAACCTTAGATCATGTGAGGATAAATACAAGGACATGCTGAAGATAAGATTATGCTCTCATTATTTCTTCAGATAATCAGAGGAGAGAAATGAAGAGAAACAAACGTCAATCAGAATCAAACTTGGATACAGAAGACCTGGAAGCTGCCACCAGGTCACCCACCACACAGCTGACTCAAGAGCTTGACCACCAGTCTAATGGAACCAGGCCAATGGGACAAGAAACTGATCAGACACTTAATCCAGACAACCCATACAACGTAAGTATTTGCACTGTAATCTTCTTTCAGAGCTCGAGACTGTTGTAGATAGAAAATACTGGTGATGTGGTTTGTTTATCCTGGTTTTGTTTTGTTTTTTCAAAAATCTGTGCAGTCTTTGCCTGTTCAGCTTTTCTCTGAAATTACAGACTTGTAAGCTAAGAAGCTCAAAAAAGTCTTCCCTCAGTCCTCTTCTCCCTCCCTCATGCCAGTTTTCATTAGATTTCAGTCTGAAAGATGCCCAAGTCCTTGAAGTGGCAAGATTAAGGCAAGTTGATGCCAAGTTGCTCTTCAGGGTTTCCAGGTCCTTGCAGAAGCAGCACTGGAGAGATCTGACAAGGACAGCACCTTCTGAAAATAAACCAAAGCTGGTCTTGATCAGACAGCTGAAGCCCATCATTTACTGACAATGTAAAGGGAGAGTCCAGTAGCTAGAAACATACTTTGCCCTCAAATATAAATTAGTATCAGAAGTGACCGCTACAGAGGAAAGCAGCAGTAGTGTCTGGTTGCAAAGAGATTAGGGTTAGGCCAAATACTTTTCTCAGCCTCTTCTCTATCAGGGTAAAACAGCCCTAGTCTAGCAAGCAATTCACAGAGGAGAACCTGTTTAGATACGGCAACAGTGGGTGGAGGATGACTCTCACAAAACTTGTTGCCGCTCTTCAAGACGAAGCAGCCCACAGAAAGAGCACAGGAGTGCCCCGCTGTGCGCCAACACCTTTGCCGCGCCGCAGGAAAACTGACTGTACAGTAGGCACCTTCCAGTCTGCTGCACCAGCGCCAGACAATTTACACCCACCATTTGGTGCAGCAGGAGTAAGTCATTTTAATACAACACTGTCACAAGATAAATGCCTCCTGCTTTGGAAATAAGTCCCAGCTTTGACTTGACATTTATGCAACAGCAGGAGATCATTATACTGTGACAGCATTCTGCCGAGTTGACATCCCTTAATTAAACTTAAATTAATCACTCCAAATAAAGTGGATCTAAACCGACTCTCTCACGAGGTCACTAAAACAGCAGCGGCACTGGAATGTAACTTCTCCTTACAGCTCCTGACGCGAGCGTAGCCGTGGGGTCTGAGCTGCCCTGTCTCTGGAGGGCAGCGGCACAACAACTGCCACAGGTCCGTTCTTCCAGCCAGAGGGCCCCTGGGCCAAGTGGGGAATGTCCAGTCAGATACGGTCAGCAGACCTCCCGCAGCCCGCGGGGCGGGACTCACCGTCACTAACAGCGACGGCGTAGATGCCTATATCGACGCTTTCTTTGGAGACTGAACAATTCGATTCAAAAGGACCATGAATTACACTGCAGGCCCTTCCTGTAGGATGAAAGGAATCCTCTTCACCCACTATGAGTGGAGTCTGGACGATGAGCTCAGGTGTAGAAGTTCACACTGGCAGGTATCTGAAGTCAAGGATGACGAATCCTGCCCAAGGAAATGACACCCTCCCTCCTCTCGGGGCTGCTGGGGGCCCAAACGACACTGAGCTGTCACCAGCATCCTGTACAAGCCCAGACAAGAGGTGGCACCTTTCTGTGCCTCACCTTTTCAGTGTGCTGCTAGTTTTCTAGATGAAAAATGCTCAGGTAAAAAGCTAAATGCTACTCCGGCATTTGCTCTTGGCTGCTGCTTTTCCTGAAATACCAATGGAAAAGGAACAAATGAGTTTCCAAAAGCAGAACGTCCAGGTTACTTTTTTGCCTGGAAAGGAGGAAAGGAATTTTGAAGGGTGAAGGCAGTAGCAAGAGGCTGCTTTTACTTAATTTTATGCATGCCTTGCTCCATGTAACTCCTTACTGTCAGATACAGAACAGGCAGAATTCTCACTGTCCACAACGCACCTAAGTGTGACAGAAGGGAAAATAAAAAGCAGACTGAAAGACAAGGGAGAAATATTCAGAAGACTGCACGGTAATAGCTTACCGAATAGTTTCCTGCAAAAAGCATCAAAATACAAAAATTAAAACAAAACATGAAAAACACAGCATATGCTTCAGACATTGTCATCTGCATAAAAGACCCAGATAACTGTCTTGAAATCTTTTCCATCGCTAATGTTTAAAACTTGAGAGTTTAGTGCTGCTGGATCTTTTGCAAGGACTGGAGAAGAAAAATAATGAAGTTAGAGTTCCCTGTTGTTTCTTTACATTTTACACGGGTGATTGCACCAATTCTACACTTCTACCAAACAGAGCAAGACAAAAGAAGAAAAAAAAAAAAAGCAAGATGCATAGGTCAGTTAGTGGGAGTCGTGTTAACTTCAACAGGACCAAGATTTCAGTTCTTACCCTTTGTAGGGTTAACAGGAGCATCGGTACCTTCCACATGCCGAGAATGACATTTATTATTTTACATTTCAGCAACTGGAAGGTGAGGGGATGGCGTTTGACCCCATGCTGGATCACCTAGGCGTGTGCTGCATTGAATGCAGACGAAGTTACACACAGTGCCAGAGAATCTGCGAGCCTCTCATGGGCTACTACCCATGGCCTTACAACTACCAAGGCTGTCGTACTGCCTGCCGAATCATCATGCCCTGCAGCTGGTGGGTTGCTCGTATCATGGGTGTTGTGTGAGAAAAAGCAACCAGAGCCTTGACAAAACAAGCAGGAACGCAATGACGACAAGCTAGTAAAAGACTACAACCAAAGCAGCAGTACCAATCCTGGCTTTTAAATCAAAGTGTGTGTCACCAAACCAAAAGCAAGGCCAGATATTCTAACTGTAAATAAAAATCTTAAGTTAATATTCCATTAGCTTTACAAGTGACAAGGGTATACTAGGACTTACTGAATTCAAACACTAGGACATCCCCCCAAAAAAAAGACAGTATTAAACTTTGCTCACAAACTGGTTTAGCAGTCCAGAAGCTTGCTCATCAATCCAAACTCAGCCTTTCACAACAAAACCCTCTCTTTCCAAGCTACATGTGAAAATTTACGTCCAATTAGGCAACTAGCTCAACTTGTACATTTGGGAGTACCTTTCATCCATGTAGCTGACTTAACTTGTGATTTATTTAAGTCGCTCCCCGTTGCTATTCGTACCGAGCTGCCAGGTCATTGTGAATGGTTATAAACCAATTACAGCATACCTTTCCCACAAAGCTGCTCCAGGGGACACGGGAAAGCGCACATTGTGCTAAATCGGAAACAAACGGCAGGAAAAGGGGCTGCGGAAGGGAATGTGCGTGGCCGCAGAATCAAAACCCTTCGCACATCCCAACATCAAAGAAGCCCCAGCATCAAGAATTTTGTATCCATGATACCACTCTAGTGTCCAACAAGTATCTGCTATCCAGCTACTATACGGCAAAAGTATTTACATGCAGTTGCAGACCAAAGAGTCTGAAGACCCTTCAGAATCTACAACAGCCACTGTATTTATAAATCCTTGAACTAGACACTTTTGACATAAGATTACAACCCCTCTTTATTCCACATGGATAGCAGCCATTCATGCTAGCTCCTTCAGCTTTGCTGAAGCTAACCTCCCTTCCCTGCAAGAGAAACTGCTTACCAGTGAGGAGAGAGAAAAAAAAAAAAAAAGAAAAAACCATAAAGAAATGGTTTCTAATCTCACCCTTTTTGCTTAGGCAAACTCTCCAATTATTGGGATTGAGCCTATTACATATTAAATCTCTAAGGAAGGTGCTTAAGCTGAAACACTGAAAGATGGAATGACTTAGGATTTCTAGCCTTGAGAAACAAAGACAGAGGTATTACACTGCCTTCATCCATACTGTATCTCTTGAACCCTACCATTGAGTTTATGGAGCCATTTACATGGGCTTTATAAACAGAAGGGTCCAATTCTTCTTAAAGTTCACTTTCTGGAGCATTCATTTTTGTGACTAAACAGCTCTTGAGATGTTGCAAGCGTAGTAATGTTATTAACACTGCGTGACACACAGAAAAGAGGAATTAATTTGACATAATCGTGGCTTAAAGAAAATAAAGACAACCTCATGTGGAATGCTAAACTGCATATCTAAAAAGCAAAGTGTTAAAATGAGAATAAGATGAGAATAGAATTCAGTATTTTGTTCTATTGTAGCTTTTTTTAATATAAGCTTCACCTTCCCTTAATCTGAAGAGCAGATTCACTTTGAAATATTTAAATTAAAAACTTCTTAAAGTGGGATTTCAAGGCCTGTTAAATTTGAGTTTCTGCTTTTTAAAATGAAAATGACCTTGATCATTATGTTGTTTTAGAAGTACGTCATCCATATGCTTAGAAAAGTTGGTTTGCCTTTTTTTTTTACTGCAGATTAAACATGTACATTAAAAAACGGCAATAGCTTTCTGTGCTTTTTTCAATGTAGAGAGTGTAACAGTACCTTTACACACATGCTCAAGAACTGTCTGGAGAGGAAAACAAGGGGATCAGCAAGTGAAACATTGAAGGCAAAGAGAAGGAAATGTGACTTTATATATGAACTAGACTGTTGCTGTCTTTTGCATCTAAGGCCATCTTGAGGCAACCCATGACCTGCTTCTCTCTGTGTGTCCGTGTGTCCGTCCCCTCCCCCAGTAAAAAACAGTCTCTTTCTGAAGACAGAAAAAAAAAATAAAAATCTTGTAGGTGATTTCCATGTCTACATGTTCTTAACAAAATTAACTCTTCCCAAACAAAAGGCTTGTATCAGTTCTTTTCTATAGGCAGTCACAAAGCATGTAAGCAGTAAAAAAGCATCCTACTCATGGATGCGCTGAATTGACCCGTACAGCATGTATGCTTTCGGAACTCTTCCGTACGCACCATGCCGAGAGCGCCCCAGTGACTGTAAGAGCAGCAGATACACTACTTACACAGCCTGGGACTAGCACAATTGCCAGAACTGCAATATTGCCCAAGCACAACACAGAGGGCACAATTTACCTGTTTCCAAGAGACGCGCAACAAAATGCCTTCTCCAACGCATGCTTCAAGCAAGCAAATCCACGCTTACCTGTATATTGTATTCAAAGAAAAAATAGAATAGAGATCTCTTGCTGTGGCAATGTTGAAAAATCTTATTTAAGTGCAACAGCTAATTTTGAAGGAAACATTCTGAGGTGACACAGGAATGACAGTAAAACCAACGATCCAACAGCATGGAAAGATGTAGCGATATCCCCTCCTGCTCTCAGACTACAGTTCTAACTATCCGCAGTGATCCCATTCACTGCCATACAGCATCTACCACCAATGTTGGAGACAATGTTTTCCACTGCCACCACAAATATACCACCTTACACACTACTAAAGAGGGTACAAAATGCCTGCATTTGGGGGGGTGTGGTGTGGGGAGGGGGGGCATTCCTCAAATCTGACCCTGTGCTAGCAGAAACCAGTTCAGCAGAAACCTTCCTTTGGCCAAAGTTTAGGGGAGGAGGAAAGAAAGAGGGATGAGCTTGTCGCCAATGGCGTTTCCCACCACAGGTGGGTAGATGTCAGTCAGAGCACCATCATTCTACTATCCTTAAAACTTAATTACCCATGTGATTGTGCACTAGGAGGATTAGGATGGCAGAGCAGATTAGAGCAGAAAAAGAGGATAAATTTAGGCTGGTAGAAAAGAGAAGGAAAACAGGCAACAAAGCCATAGAGTTAAAAAGACTGAAAGCCAGTGATAGGAAGGCAGAAGTCATCTCTTTTCTGCATCCACAGCCCCCCTTTCTACCCACTTACAAGGAATGAACCTGAGTCTCTCCCTTTATCCTTTTTGATACGAGAATCTTCCTCCACTCCTATCTACGCTGAGAAATAAGATGAAGCTGGGGGGCGTGGAAGGGGGGAATCTGTCTTCTGCCTCCCATGTAACACTTCTCCCCTGTTGCAGCATGAATAAATTCCAAGAAAGTTTCAGTGAAGAACAGACTAATCACTTGTTCCACGAAGTGAAAAAAAAAAAAAAAAAAAAAAAAAGTAGAGAAGCACAAGACTACAGTTGGCAAAGAACAGACTGTTCATTGGCACATCACAGTGGACAGAATCTCTGCTCAGAAAGGGCAAGAGTCAGACTGAACCAGGAGCACCACCATCTTCTGCTTCCGAGAGGCTCAACTGATCTTTTACAAGTGCTGCACATATACCAGAGAGGCAGCCTTAAGCTACTATAGACAGGCATTTTCCATGAGCCACAGAGCAGCAGCAGAGAATAAACCCATCTGCAGTATTAAATGGGAAAGCTACTGTCACCTCTTGCTGTCTTGTTCCCATATTTGCAACAGGACTACAAATCACACCACCGAGGCGAAATCGCCTGGGCCTTCTAGACAGTACTATCTACAGTCTCAGAAAAAAAAACACCTCAAGAGAAGTTAGAGCACAATTAAAAATCATCCACTCGGTCCTTGCAGGCAGTTCTATGCTTCCAACCAACTCACTGCCAGCACTGCAACAGATTCCACTCACCCTTTGTCACTGGTACCTTCACCCTATTCAACCTCCAAGCTCCCTGCTATCTTCCTCTTGACCTAGGGGCTTCTGGAACCATTCCGTGCACGTGTTTCATCAACAACAAAACACATACTGTCCACAAAGTTCATGAAGCACCTTCCCTCCAACTTTATATGGAAATTTTGCCTACTGCTTTAACCCAATCCCCTCCCACCAGAAAGCCCCAACACTCCCTTCACCCCACCCCGCTCTGTAAAGCAAGAAGAGCTGCCGTTACTGGTTCACCTACATTCTAAAGTGGAGCTCACACAGATTATCTGTCTGTGCTCAGAAACACGCTGGAATTATGTTTAGATCTGCAAACTTGGCTTACAGGACTGAGATGGACAAGGAGGTCTACCACTTGATTGCTACAAGTTTTAGCCTGAAGCTAAAGCATTATATTTGCATTACATATGCCTCAAGAGTACATAAGTAGCAATGCATTTTATTTTACTTTTTGCCTTAAGCTAAGTGAATTGAATCCCAAAGCAGTGAAGCAGTACCCACTTAACAGAAGAATATATTGTGCTTATCTGACAATACTCCCATGGTCTTTCTGCAAGTGAAAGTAGACAGAGGAACCCCTACTGTGTTCTCTTCGGTAAGTAAAAAGAACTTGATTGGCAGAAAACATCCTCAAATTACTTTTTCATTTCTATTTAAGAGATTTTTATCTAGGCTTTTCCCATAGCAACTCTTTGCTAAGCGCTGTTAAGTGCTCTGAATGACATTTATAAAGCAAGGCTGGCCAGGAGACAAGAACCCAATTTTGTGACAAACTGAAGGGCTCAGACATTTGTCTTCCTTCTACATTAGAAAGGAAGAAATGCCTTCCAGAGGATAAATAAAAAGCAGCAAAGCACTTATCCAGGAGAATCAAGTTCAAGTCCCTGTTCCACATCAACTTCAATGCTAGCATCCCATACGGATGGCAAATGCTCTAGATACGGAGCAACTAGCTACTCTGAATTCTCTGAAGGGCAAGATGTGCCCCACTGAAGCTAACAAATCTTCACTGAAATATGCCACAAGTACATCCTTTGAGAAACTCTTCCAAGCAGCAGACATTGTTCAGTAAAGAGGCAAGGCACACAAAACCCTGCCTAAATTCAACCCCTCTCCCTTCACTGTATTCAAAGACCAGGATAACATTCAGTTCTGAAGGTTATCACATTTGAGGTTTGGAAAACATGAATCAATCCCGAAGCTGAAAGCGATTCAAAAATCACTACCCAGCTTGCACTATAGCATAATCATGATCTGAGCACATCAAGAAACTGCAGTTATGCCAAGACTGCAGTCATAGTCTACAACTGCCCAGTATGACAATTGGAAGTTCATAGCATGGTATATATGCAAAACCAAGGTCTCTCTTTAAGATTTGTGAGATTTTAAAATCTTGGTATCTATCTATCTACTGCAGAGGCACAGTAACAATAGTAGGAAAGAAACCCGCTGCACTTTCCTCAGCATCACTGCAAAACCTAGACTCCTAGTCCTCAGGAGGAACAGAATACATCCTTTCTTCCTCCCCCTTAGTTTTCAATCACCTTTTACATACATTTATTACAATAACACCTGCAGACTTCACTTGTCCTATTAAAACATCTGTGCTAATAACCTTTATATTTTGCCAAGCTCACCCAGTTCCCATTGTAGTAAAATAACATATCAAATACAAAGAACAGGCAGAATAACAAACCATCTGGGAAAAGCTACATAATTAGGAATTCAAGGAAAAGTAGCAGACTTAAGCACCAACCAATGGTTAGCAAGGAATGAAGTGGCTTTCAGGGGGCTGCCAACATTTGCAATTTATGGTGTTTTCTAGAATTTTCAGAATATTTAGGTACCTCTAAATTCCCAAGAGACAGCAGCACGTGGACTAGGCACGTTTACCACAACTTTGTAAGTTCATGTGTGCCTCACAGAATCACAGAACAGTTGAGGGTGGAAGGGGCCTCTGGAGGTCGCCTTGTCCAACACCCCCCACCCCCCGGCTCAAGCAGAGCCACCTAGAGCCAGCTGCCCAGGACATGTCCAGATGGCTTTTGAGCATCTGTAAGTCCTCGCAGACTTGTATCCAAGTAGTACAAGCATAGACAGCATTTCTTACATTTCTCGGTTCTTTCTCAGTAAATACTGTTATTTACAATAACCATGATGGGAAAGCTGCATTGATGGAAACAATTAAGGACACATGGGCTCTTCTCTGAAATATAGTTTCCAATATTCTAAAATAACAAAAATTAAAGTAACTGCTTGCTATCTTTGATTTCAGGCAACTGCAATAGATCCTTCTTTTTGAACCTAAGAGGCAGACAGAGGACCCACTTTTCTGTAGCAATTTACAGCCACAACTGATTTTCTCCTTTCCATCACATACGACTGCAGCTCAACCTACCACCCAGGTGGAGGGACTTCAAAAGTGGAAGTTTTCTGTCTGCATTAATAGCAGCAATCTCAGCCTCTTCACTGAACGCACATTTTTCTCCTACACAAGCCAATTTTTTCTTCTTCTTTTTTTTTTTTTTAAACAAGATTACTGAAAATGAAATGAAGCAGCTTCCGTATAGAAAAAGTTATATTTACAGTTTTATTTAGCAGAGTTAAAGAGCAAACAAATTTTAACACTGTTGTTGAAAAGTGTTTTTACCCAAAGTTGCCAAGATCTAATAAGTTATTGAACAGAAATACCGGGCGTAAGGCAATAATCCTGACCAGCCATTAGAGATCACCCTATTCCCAAAGAGCAGAGCTGATAAAGGCGGTAGAAAATTTAGACTGATTGACTCAATTTCCAAAAATTAGACAGAGGTGATGAAAATAGGGTTCCATTCTTGAGTGTATCTTTAACATCTGCGGATGAAGGAATTTCTAAAGCACGCAAAATGTAAAGACAATTCCTGTTTCCAAGGGAACATTCAGTGCTTTGAATCCAAGAATGCTATGTCCATACACAGTGGTCAGTACAGGACTATGGCAACACAAAGATGGAACAAGATTAAAAACAGGATTAGAATTTTTTCCATTCCATGTCATCAGGAGGATTTACTTCTACCTTCCTTTTGCCAACATCAGACCAGTTGGTGCTCAGAACTGTGCCTCCAGACTCCATCTGCAATATGAGAGAAAGCTTGTTTAGTTTGCTAGATGAATTCTAGTAATAGAAAAGCCACATTTCTTACACTAGATTATAAAATTCTGAAGAAACATGAAGAATTTAAGCTTAATGTGGTAGCAATTACACAACAATTCTGTGTATAGATAGAATAAAATTTGACAAAGCCATCATTCCATAATCTTCAGCCCAACAGTATTTTTATCAGTACTGGACACAATGAGATGTTACTTCATTAATGAGAAGCTTTTGAAGGGTCAGTCACATTCCTGCCTATGAGGACCACAAATAAAAGGAACTAGATACAAGCAATTAAGAGGATTTTCACCCTTTCACCCATGGTAAGTCTTTAAGCTCTATGAGAGCCAAAAACTCTATTTCCTTTGATAACACTGATGCAAAGAGACCAGTGACAAAGCACAACCTTGGACTAGAGAAGTCACATTCATTAGTGTACAACATTGTAGCTTTCAGTGTTATACCAGTACCTCCAATGGAACCACTGCCACTCATTATAGGTTTCGGTAGCTAGAGGGTTCCCGAATCATGCAAAGTTTAGTAAATTGCATCATTGTGCAAAAGTTACACATTTCTTCAGAGAAAAAGAAGAAAGACTTACAAACGATTTGTTCATGGCACGTTTCACTTCATCTGTACCATCTGAATAAATTTGCTGGAAGAGTTTATTTAAAGCAGCATCTCCTTCCAACTTCTCATTCTTCTCCTCTTCTTTGATTTCAACTACCAGTTTGTCCCAGTTCCTTGTATAGTGAGAGGATGATGGATATAAGTGCTGGGTATCTGAAAACAGAAGTGTTAGTTAACCAAGCGTTTTGTCACGACTTTTAGAGCAGCAGAGAACACACAGACACATATGTATCCGATGAATCAGAGATGATAATGGAACATGAATCTGAAAATGCAAATGGATTCCTCCTTACTGATATAAGTATTGCAGTAACGAAAATAAAGAAAACTAAGAAATGCTAGAGACTACATTCAGCAGCTGCAAAAGTTTAATTAAACAGCTATATAATTTAGCTATGCCACAGAAAAAAATGCTGGACACCAGCAACAGAGACAATTAAAGCCAAAACAAGGCAGAAGATACTGACTGACAGTAAGAAGAAAAACAAACACAAATAAACAACACTTCCCCTAGAGCTGCAGGAAAATTTGAGCTAAAGTTCAAACAGTATCTGAAATCAATAAGTGAGGAAATTCAAATTCTCTCAAAGACAGACTGTTAATCTGTCTTGAAAAACTGCAAAACTTACTTTCCAAGAGAGATGGAATATTTAAGTAAATAATAGTTAATTATTTAAACAACAATAGAGGCATAACAATGCATGGAACAGCAAAGCGGTGACCAAAACAGATAGCCAAAAAGACAAGCTCAGAGGAATTAATGACAATCCATCAGATGAACTGAAGTTATGACTAAATTTAATACCTGAGTTTCAGTAATGCCCCACAGACTTTTTCGGTCAATTCTTGGCAGTAAAAACCAGACTATTAGGCTTTTCATTGTAAATATGAAGCTGTGATTTTATTAACAATATTTAACACAAAAATATTATTAATAACTACATATAACTTAAAACAAATAAACTATTTATTACTGAATAGTTCAGAGAACAAACCTGGTGTAAATTGCTTTAATTTAGGAGATTCTCCCTGGCCCTCCAGCTTCTCCCATCTTACAGCCTCTGGCTTCTTCATTTTTATCTCAACCTACAAAACACGAGACAAGGAACAAATTAATCCAGATGGCAAACAGTTCTGCCAAATAGTTTCAAAGTAGCTGGATCCTGTAGCGGTGAGAAAGTGAATACACTTGTTTTTAGAACCACAGTCTCTAATACGAAGCCTGTATTTTATCAAAATTTGCCTACCTTACAAGATGACGTTGCGTGACTTCAAGTCATATGTCAACTAAGCTCTTACATGGCTGCATAGCTCCTGTATGAGACTTTTTTACTCTTTTGTTTAGTACCACTGAACTTGCTTTTACTTACTATTCACTTGATTCTTTTTGTAAATTATGGCATCCCGAAAGCAACGATCAGTCCCAACATCTCTACACTGCCAGGCACCAAGGTATTATCTTTCAAGCATCTCTTTCTTGCCAGACAGCTCTAACAGTTAACTAGCACTTTTGAAAGACTACAAAATACAACTTTATCTGGGTTTACATTTCATCCACCAAAATTTTCATATTTGATGTGTAGTACACACACCAGAGAGACACCCTGGGATTATGCAGATCTTCCCACTGGAGAAATTCAGAAGCTGTATTCATTTGGTTCAATGAACAAACACTGCTATGGAGGAAACTGTCTAGTATTCACTGACAAAACTGGCAATTAAAAATGGATAGGGTTGGAATTATCATAGGAGAAACAAAATTAAGTGAAGTATGTCGTGCCCTATTCACAACTACACATTATCCCTTTAGACAACCATATTGAAATGTTTTTTGTAATTAACCTTATCCTTTGGTTACAGGGTTACAAACTTGCAAAACAATGTCTGCAAAACAAGGACTGTCTAACGTTACTCCAAATGACAAATTTGTTTAAGAAAATGTCACAAAGTTCATATGACACCATTAACTGAAATCAGGGCTTGCTAAACTTCAGCAGTTCCTTATTTGTGAGCAGCTCAGCAGAGGCAAATTCTTAGTTCTACCTAAAGCCACCATAACCTGGGGATCCCTCCAGACCCAAGAACAAAGGCACCACTGTAAAAGCTAACCCGGGAGATCCTAACAGCAAGCTCCTTGCACAGCATCACGTTGATCTGAAATTTGAACTTTATTTAATCCATTCTTCAAATCAGTCACTAGAAGCAACACACCGAGATACCTTATAAAAATAAAGACATGAGCTCACTGAAGTTTCAAAGCTTCCACATTTGCAATCATGCTGCACTTTAAGAATCAGAATATTCAATTATGATTGTGCTCCCCCCCCCCCTCCCCCCCAGGGAAGCTACCATTTCCCTAGACAAGTTTAAATACTTATTTTCCACCAACAACTTGTACTAACTGAGAACAACAAAAAGTTTAAGACATGAGGCACAGAATGCCCTTAAAGGCAAGAGAGAGTGTCAGCAAGTTTGTAAGTCAAATAGCCCCATGTATTCGGCTTCTCCCTCTCCATGTCTGTTGGATTTCCAATGCTTTTAGCAGCTTTACAAGTCACAAATTAAGCATCAGAGCATCAGTTTTTAAAACAGTGAAAGTCACAGTCACAGAACCAAAAATAATAGAATAAAATTAAAATAATCTATTACTTTAGTTGCTCAACCTACTGTCCCTAAAGGCAGCCTGTATTCCAGAGTTTAATACTACAATCTGTAAGGACGCAGAGATTTCTGCTGAAACTATGCAGAAGCAGCACTCAAACTGTGCCAATAATTTGTCTTCAGTAGAACAAAAGAAGTCAGCAAAGCTTCCTCCAACGGACTCTTCTAAAAACAGTTTGGAAACTACAAAAAGTACAACCTTTTAACACCTACACTCATAAATCTAATGCTCTGTGATTAGCTTAAGGGAGCCAAAAATATTTTTAAATCTACATATAAGATAAACGAGTGGTTCCATGAGTGCCAGAACTATCAGGGTTTTATTTTTCCAATAGATTTAGATCTCATGAGTCAAACATTTAAGGTAATTAACCACTTACAAAGGCACTAATTAGTTACAAATGAAACGCGAGTATTAATTTAAAACAACCTGTCTCTCCTCTGCCTCTTGCATAACTCTTCTCAGCATGGGGAACCTGTAGTATCAATTCAGCTGCACATTTAAGATGAGGAGGCCTTAACTTTAAGATTCTTATCCTCTGCTTATTAGCGCATGGCCCCCATATGTTCTACTTTAAAAAAAGAGAGTGTAAATGCTTGATATTGAGACTACTCAACCCTATACCCCTTCAATTTCTGTTCTGTTTGTTTCTTCCTTCGTATATCCTCCTACCCTTATGCTTCAGGCTTTCCACCACTATCTTTCAGTATCTCAAACACAGACTATTTCATTCACACCAAGAACGACCTCTAATGCAATATAACGCTTTATGTGAGCTACTAAACACAGACTTTTTTTCTTCTCAGAACACAACCCTCCTCAAAAAACCATTATAAAAACCTTTGGCTATTCAGAGTACTCTGCCCACGCATAAAAAAGAAAGAATATCTTTACTTTTGCTGCTCCAGTAATCCCCCTCTCCTTTTTTAATCTGCTAGTTCTTACAATTTTCTCTCTCAAACTGTCCCTAAGCCAGTACTACATGACAAACATCCCTAAGGAAAAGGAAATGCTACAAACTAATTCCCAGTGGAAGATGCAGATTTCTTAAATCTAAACCATTTCAACCCTGCCAAGCTAGAAGTACAGCCAGCTGAAGAACTGAGACAGAACATATTTATGACATGATTAAACCTCCACCCCATCTACTCCATCCACTTCAATTGAAGTTACTCATTAGGCAAAGCGGCAGGCAGGAGCAAAACTAGGGAAATCATTAGCTTCATACCCTTGAACAACCACATTTTCCAAAAATATAAAGCCATAAAATTCTGCTTGTGAAGGTGCGTATTTCTTCAACTTGAGAGCTTTATTTGATCTAAGGAGAAACAACTTGTCCCACTTATGTGCACAAACGGCAATAAATGCATTTTAATGAACATTTTAAAGCCAATACTGATAGCTATCACAGAAAAGTTACATATCAGTACGAACATTTGTGTCATATCCAACATACAAGTACTGTTAGCTTTTTCCTCTCCTTTGAAAAAAAGTTCAGTACTCAGGCAAGAGAAATACATCAACACTCCAACTACTTTGATTTAACATTTATATTTTATAAAACGTATGCCTCTGTGCCTCGTGCCAGCTTTAAAATAAAAGACAGGAAAATTTCATTGCAAATTAAATGCTTTGCATGCCATTTCAGGGCAAGCCTAATTCCTCAGCCTCAACTCGTAGCTCGTGCTGTGCAGCCACTGACCATCTCGGTAGCCCTCCACTAGGACTTGCTCCACTATGTTAGTGCCTTTCTTGCACTGGGAAGCCCAAAACTGGACACGGTACTCCAGATGCATGAAAAGTTCCAACGCAGAAGTAATCCACCCTCTGCTGTAATTTTCAAGTTTCTGGTATTTTAGGCTCAAAGTGAGCAAGCAAAAAGGAAAAGAAACATAGAATTTTGATAGAGTAATTAATGCATTACATGTTTGAAATACTGCTTTGAGAGAAACCTACCCCTCTGAAAAGAGGGTCAAAGGGGGGATTCATTGTCTAGAAGAAACTCCATCTGCAGTGAAAGGATACAGAGAAATTTCTACTCACAGAATTTTCTAGTCATAAAAGTAACTGATTTTTTTAAAACCTATCAAAGACTTAGACACATTTGCAGCTTAATCCAAGCGCTAGCTATCAGAAAAGATGCCACAGAGAAGCTATTCTAGACTGTTTCCTTGGTAGTATAAGAACACAAACCCCCCTTTACTTTAGGATGACTGCCATAGAAGAGCATTTAATCTAGTTTTAAGAGGCAATTTCTCCTCCTAGCTACAGAGAAACACAATGCTAGTTAGCCAACATTAATTTTCAAGGTAGAAGCTTACTTTTAAAATTCCAAACCTCTGATGAACTAGATTTCACTTGAACTTACATTCTGGGACAGACTTTGCCAGTTTAACTGAGAAACATTAAAAGGGAAAGTTTTATCTTTCTCCCCAAAAGAAGATTCTGCTGTACGCTGACAAGTTACAAGAATTTTCCTCTAATTTCTACTGTGTTTTGTATTTTATAGTCCATGTTAAGGGAAAGTTCACTTACCACTGGCAAATTTGTGTCAAGCTCTGATCAGATGGATGAAGGAAATCAGAACTGGCACAGTTTAAGCAGTAGTTCAGCCATTAATTTTAAGATGCATCAAAACCCACCCTTTTAAACTCTGACATTTTGCTGTGTCAAACACATGAAACAAGAATTTGGGGTTTCCCATCAACTACTTAGTTATTCATTGAACTACTGACTGCCTTGTCCAAGTTGTAAATTTTAAGTGTTGAGAGTTGTCATTTTGTAATCATCTCACTCTAAATTAAAGAGTAGGACAAAATAGCACTGTCTTCTAAAAATATATGACCTATTCAAACATACCTCTAAGATCATACGCACATACAGTTTTGGTATCCTATTTATTAAAAGACCTTTTATACATTGCTTATACTCTGAATTCCAAGATCTTTGGTCCGTAACTTTAAACAAAATATACTGAGGCAAAAATAACTCTACGGTATTATTAGAAATAAATGACAATTACGAAATTTATTCTGCAGCAAATATATTGCAACAGAAGGGATTTAGCGTGCACCTTCCAGTTTCTTTGCCAGCTATGTACTACGCAGAACTGAATGCAAAAAGGTCAAAGTTTCCACCTCATTGATACTACATGACAAGGACTTGTTAAAATGTTGAATTTTAGAGAAGAAGCTAGCAATACAGATCTTCTCAACATCCTAAAGCTCTTTGTCACTGCATCCTCAATGTAAATCATTGCTGGTTTAATATTTTTAAATCCATCTTCTCTCAAGACAGAGAAAAACCCTTATACATAGTTTACCTTCACGTATTTGTATCAAGCATGGGCACTCCTATGCTTGTTTAAAATACAGTTCTCGGAGTATTAACAAGTTTAAATCTGCCCCACACGCACCCGCATTCACAAAGAAGAGAAAAAAAAAACCCATCAAACTTATTTTGAGCCAAGTAAATATCACACCAATCATTGGGAAGGTTTCTTTATGGTCTAGCCAGGAAATTACTCCAACAAGCCATGCTTAAGATACGCAAGAAATTTCAGAAAAGTATTCAACTCCTATCTTAAATATCAGTTTATAATTTAGAAAAAATGCTCAAGCATATATATAGCAGATATGAATCTGTATGAAAGCCTCACAGAGAACACAGGTACATGAGAGCTGCGAAGTCTGCATTCAAGTGCCTGCAAACAATTTCATGAAAATATCCAAAACAAGAAAGTATCTTTTAAGGATCAGACTGCAACGGTAAGAACCAACTTCAGTTAAAACAAATCTGTTCCTCTATTTATCTATTTGTGTATAGTTGCCTCTGAATAGAGGCTCTGACAACAGTCCAAGAGTACGTGACAGTTTCACTCTTTGCCTTCTCCTTCACATTTAGCAACACGCATCGGTGTGCTTTTCCAGTAAGCTGCACAGAGCACTTCAGAGTTTGCAAGGCAAAATGTTGGTTTGAGGAAAAGAAACATTCCACTGATGCACGCTACCACATTCTTGGCATGAAGCTGCTGAGAGTGTGCTTCTACCTCAGACATCTCTATTAAGTAACAAATGTCAACTGTAAAAGCAGCTGAGGATTTCTAACACCTCCCCTGCTTGCTGCACAACTTTGATCTCTAATTAAAGGACTGTTCTGGGGTAAAGAAACTGCTTTTTACCACTTTTTCAAATGGCTCTAAATTGCCTCAAGTCATTGCTTGCAAAAAACCCAAACCACTAAAACCTGAAAACTCACAGTAATTGTCCCCAGACTATTTGTAAATGCAAGAGCAGAGGGGAAGAAAAAGAGAAAGCCCTAGCTCAAGTTTCCTTCAAGTTCATAAGCTATGTTACGAAGTATGCTAAAAGCACACACTCATCCTCACTCTCCTACGTCTAAGGAGAAGAAAACCCTGAGCATCTCCTAGAACTCAACAAAAGAACTAGAGAAACTGGTCACTTTACACAAGTTCCCAACAGAACATGGCAGAATATCCCCCTGCAATCCCAAATACACCGGCTGACAGGATGAACAGAAGAGGGAAAAGAAAGTGAGGCTGACTGCACACAAAGAACTGTTTCAGAATGTTAGAAATCCTTATGCTATTTGTGCATATCTACTTTCCTACCACATTTTCTGGACAGAGACAGATCAATTAGTTTTGTCTTAAACATAGTTAGTCACACATTTTAAGTTTTTATGCCTTTTTGCTTTTATGAAGGGAGACGATGATATTACACACACCGAGCTGCAAGCTAACTGCACCCAGGCAACTTCCAAAGAGCAAGCTTGGTCCAGCCTTTACATTCTGGCTCCCTCTTCTGGAAAGAAGTAAAAAACCCAAGCAGTACCATTAACGGGTACTGTCCTCCGGTTAAACACCGAGTGCAACGTGCAGTTTTCTGTGTGCCACAGTTTTTTCCCCCACTTCACCTGACACCTTAACACTATTGAGGATAACCAGCAAAATACACAAAATCCTACCTGTTGTGTACAAAGTCATGCTACACACAAAGACCAGACCAGCTTCCATTTGTAAGACACAAATCTCAAATTTATATGGTGCTTTCTGAAGCTGCTGTTGCTTTTTGCTTTATCAGACTCCTACAGTCAGACACCTTTCACAGATGACTAGTATAACCAATAACATCAGTTGATCTAGTTATGATCTATCAACTATGCTGTTCATGTACAAGAAAAAAAATGCTAGGCATACACAGCAATTCCCTCAAGAGAAGGGCTCAATACAGTTGTATTCAGCATTTTCTCCCACGAACATTAAATTGAGGCCTTAGATCATGAGAATTATATGCTGAACAACAACTCTAAGTAACTTGTGACCAAACGTGAACAGGAACCATAATCAGCCCAAAGCTGAATCTGCAAGTAGTGACATCTATTAAATAGCAAATGCTTTCAAATTAGGTAAAAAAATGGCTCCAAGCATGGCAGTAATACATACAGCCACTATTAAAGGCTTCTGTATCATCTATAAAACTGTTGACAATTAAAGAATATACAATACTAGTATGTATAAAGAAAGAGATGAGGATTTTATCTTAGAACTGGACTTCACCCACACATTACGCTGTTCTTGAGCCAGTGTCAAGCGTTTTACCTCTTCTAGCTAACAGCTTGAAGTCACAAGTCTGCAGATTACGAACGCTAGTTTACTCCTGCTCATACAGAAACGACTCAAACACCTCTGAACACCTACCTATGCTACCCCTGTACCATTTGCTAGTTCTGCTCTTTTCCAAATAGAGACTCTGTATCTCAGACCTAGACACAGCATGAATTTATTGAAAGGTATAATTTCTATTTCATTGCTAGGAAAGAAACAATTCTTAAGGTATCAATTGCATTTTTCACCACTGTTAACATTCCCTGAAAGAACTAATCCCAGAGTCTGTTAAGTGCTGTCTGCTCTTTGCAGTTATTTTAGAACCTGTAATTCTGCAAATAAAGTTAAGCTATTTTTTCCTCCTGAATTTGCATCTTTACCTTTATTCCTTTGCATTTGTCAAGTGATGCTGAATTTCAAGCAGTACTGAGAAGTCCCTTTCCAGCTTCTTTTAGTCACCAAAACATGCAGTATTTTTCTACTATCCAGCAGTTCTGTTGTTTCATCCTCTATTCATTACATGTTAGTTTCATGAAGTTCATGGGAAACCCAAACTATTCACCACATAGCCTGACCATACATTCCACTCTGTTTCCTCACATATTTCCTCATATAGTTGGAAAAGACCAGACTCTTTGTTGCCCAGTGAAGACCACACAATGCTAATGGCAACATGGCTCATGCATTCAAAGCGGCAATATAAAATAAAGCAGTGTGAACACATGCAGTTATTCTTATCTGAAATTACTAATCCACAGGAACAGATCTGTTCCTATCCCATAAAAACACCACTTCTTTACAAGTACGTAATAAGAAGTTTATATAATTGGGAAGATAATGAGATTATGTCTTTCTTTCCAAGTCCTTACAAAAGGACTTCATGTAAACGGTACAAAATAATTTGTACAGGGTTTGAGAAGTTCTAAGTAATAAGACAGCTTATTCAAAGTAGTAACTGCCTATTTTCTATGCTGCTCATACGAACAAAGTATATACATGAAAGTTATAAAAAGAAATCTGAATTTCTAGTATTCAAACACTAAGGTTGCACCATTCCCTTAAAGCGCTTAATGTTTTTGGAAGTAAAATATTCTAAGCCTTTAAAGATGTCTTTGCATGCTTAACGTAGATCTGCTTTTGAACTTTTTTCTTCAGCCAGACTCCATCTGCTGGTCGGAACCGGAATTAGCTGGGGCATCATTTAAATTGTATTCCTTCACTATGCCTTCACAGATGGCCTTCTACTTCTCTGCAAAAGGAAGAACATGCTGAAGCACTGACTTCTGCTGTTATAAACACCTCTTGTGTGCTCTCTCATCCCATTTCATCTCAAAAATATTCTCACAATTATATAGGAACAGTAACATTTGAAAATAAATGCAAAATGTATACAATCCAGACACTGCCTGCCTGAACATAACTAAAGCTTTCATATGACTTTAGGTACCTCAATCTAAACCAGGCTCTACACTACTAGAGATTATTTCAGAGATTAACCCAGGCTAGAGATGATAGCGTAGAAACACAAAGTCAAGTTCATTTCAACAATGCTTAGTAGCATGCTGATGCTTCATAAAATGAATGGTTAAACTTCAAGATAAATGCAAAGTATAATACAAGTTAGATAGGAATATAAAGCAGAGAACCCTCACAGTTACTCCTCCTGACAAGGTCCACACCCATTCCACTCAAATGTATATAAACACTAATGGACCAGCAGATTTTCTACATACTTTGAGCACTCTGCTTATCTCCCACAGCGTAAGAGCTCACGTGACTCAATCACATAACCTGCCCGGCTTCCTTAGTGCGAGGAGTGGAAAAACAAGACCAACGTTCTACGGCAATCCTCTCGTATCATCTTTAAGTCCCTCTTCCCTAAAATGATGCAAGACCTATTATAGGTACCTTTCTGAGAAGGGAAAAGGTAAAATGGAACATGAGAACACAAAGGAATTTCCGAAAGCTCTGAAGAACCACTGCTGAAATACAAGGAAAGAATTAACCATACAATCCTGCTTCAGAGATCCGAGCTTGGCTCTATGCACAAAACCTATGTCTGTATGCGTTATACCAACAACATATGCTATGCCAAACCACAGTCAGTTTCTTAGTTTTCTACACCTGTAATAAAGAAATAAAATGCTGAGACAGAAGCATTCCCTCTCATGTCATGAAATTTTCAAGTGTCTCCAAGCAAGTACTATTTCCAGGCACAGCACGGAATATACTCCCTTGAAAAGCCAAAACCAGTTAACCGTATGGTTAATCTTTACCAGCAAGAAGTCGTGAAAGTGTAAAGAATTATTTCAACAATTAAATCTTCGAAGACTGACTTTTATTTCTTAGGCACACAAAGTTAACAATGCTTCTTCACAAGGCAACACTGGCTCATAAAAGTTTAGTAGAAACATGTTCATACTTTCCTAATATCAGAATTTTAAGAGTGAAGACTACAGTCTTCCTTCTACAGCAACAAGTAAAAGCATCCTCAACATCCCTGTCATTTGCACTTCAATAAGCACCATCATATTATTATTTCTGATATTTGCACAAGTTTAGAAAGCCTCTCACTGGCTGAAAGGCACCTTGAAGAAAGAAAAAGCATTGCTATATGAAAAACAAGGCTGTTGCAGAGAGACAAGACAATAGAGCAGAAACATTCGGAACAGTCAAAGAAATAATTTACACTTTAAGAAGCTTACCTTTGTTGAAAGCACTTTAAACGTACTTTGCTCTGGCACTATCGAATGAAGAAGAACAAGCTTTAAGTTGTAGTCTTCACCTGATGGAAGTCTCACTGATGCATTCATCTGTTAACAGTTGAAAACACATCTCTGGTCATCTTTTAGAGCAGTTTTCCATTTCCAAGTAAAGTACTGTCATTTGGCACCAAGATTAAGTGATTAAATTAATGATGCTTCACTAGGGCACTTAACACATCAGGCGTCAGAATTTCAGCTGCTGCTATTACATTACTGCGTTACTGAGCAAGGTGTTCCTAGAGTATACTAGAAAATGAACAGGAGAGTCCAATTCTTAGCCAGCAAGTACTCAAAAAGCCTACTATCTTGTCAGCTTGATCTGCATTCTTTGGGGAAAAAGTTACATGGCAAATGAAGTATCAACGCATTAATAAAGCAACATGAAAACAATTTCCAACTTCCCTTCTAATACACGTAAACTACGTGGCAAGCACTCACACAATTTTAACAATCTAACACAGAAAGTAACAACCAAGTGGTTTTGGTAGTTCACAGAGTATCAACTAAGTTGAGAATAAGAACCTAACTCTCCAACATTCTCAGCTAAATTGAACATGAACATCACTGGTACCGCATACGATATTACAATAAAAAGATTGCTGCACTTCCTTGAAATACATACTTTGCTGCCTTTAACAACTTTAGTGATGCAAAAGCAAGAAAAACCAACCCACCGGTCATTCTTCTTCCATAATTGTCCTAAAGCAAGGTATTACTCATTCATACCTATTTTTAGAATACCTTGTCTCTGTCCATTCCTACTCCAGATGCACAGATGCATGCACAGTCAAACACTTCAAGTCCAGAACACTTTTTCTCCCGCCCCTCCAAACTCACAGGCAGCTGATCACCAGGTGTTCCCTTTGCAGCACGCCCAGCACACCACCGCCCGTGTGTAAATCCCATGGACACCGCTGTAGCTGTAGATCCCAGTTCACTTGACTGGGCATACACCATATACAGCATAACTGTACACTGAAAAAGCTCAGACAGAAGACCACCTGTACCATTCTTTTCATGCTACTGCAGCAGATAATGGTCACTGTTTCAATTACCACATCTTGGGGAATCTAGGGATGCGTATCAATAACCAATACAAATCACCTCTTTCTCTGAGAACTGCACACTGACATCATCCTTCTGTGCATTCTTGATCATTATGGTCACAATTACTTGAGACTCTGTTTGGTACCAGTCATATCTAAAAAAAAAAAAAAAAAAAAAAAAAAAAACACACAAAACACACAACAAAAAAAGTGGGGTGGGGAAGAGAGGAAAAACTGACTGCAAAGAAGAATATCAGAAGTTGGAACAGTACATTGTGTAGTTTAATGCGGGAGAGAAGACGTACAAAACTAGATTGCTTCCCGTTCCTTTGAAAAGGCAGTTGCAGAATTGACAAGGTAAGTAGTTAAAGAACAAAGACTCTTTTTTTCATCAAGAAGCGTATCAAAATTAGGTCACTTTCTTAACTAATTGATAGCATTGTTTGTCTTCTATAAACTAAATGGCACTTTTTAGTTCAGGATGTTAAAAATATCTCAAAAACATTACCTATACTAGGCACAACGGGGCAGTCTTGAATTAAGCTCAGCATTAGAAACAGAAGCCAGAATGCTTACTCCGTTCCCCACTCTCCCAGTGAGGCATAACCTCCTCAAAGTACAACTCAGTCTGAACAGAAGCGACGACACTGAGAAACACTTCACTTAGACTGCCACATTTTTAAAGTTACCCCAAAAAAATTTCTACAGTCATCATTTCGCTTCTCCAATCCCCAAGTCAAAGAACAGTTTTATGTCAATTATTTTAATTCTCACAATAAAGCTAAAAAGTCAACTTACTTGATCTTTGGTGGCAGAGGTTGCTGTTGTGTATTCTAGTTGAAGCACATTGGAAAGAAAGTTACATCAGTGTAAGTGAAAACATACCATGAAGTACATTTCAAAGGCACAAATCATTTTCACACTGATTGCTCCCCTTTTCTTGATTTATGTATGAGCATTAACTTACAGGTGAAGCTCTTCACTGTTCTCCTCGCCATTTATGCCAGATTACGAATTAAAAAGTTTCAATTTACACTAAATATGTCAGCCTGTAACTTAGAATATATTTGTCACACATTTTATAAATAGCAGTAACTTCAGCTTTAACTAATTATCTTCCCGGGTAACAAGTATAACCTGGAACACATACAGAGGCTCTGTTGCTAATCTAAAAGTCATGAAGGAAACCTGAAATAGATCTGAGAACTCAAGGTATAACTTTCAAACATAAAAACCTTTTAACTGTAAGATTTGTCTTTACATACACCCACCATGTTTTCTGTACGCTTTCCTCCTCTACCTTATTCTTAAAATGTAAAAACCCGAAGTAACTATGAAAAGAGGCAGCAGAACATCCAGTGCAAATTCCCCTTTTTTTTTTTGTTTCAAGAACAAAAAGGGGTGGTGGTGGTGTCAATTTCAACATTAATTCTGAAACTGAAAGCTGAAAAAGTTCCAGCAAAAGAAAGTCCACACAAACCACTTGCAAGCTACCGGGGAAAAAAGGTTTCTAGCACTCACAAGCAAGTGTTGTCAACATGATCTGGTTAATTTGTAAGTTAGGCCACAGGCTGCAAGCCAGAAAGTTAAAATTTACTTCAATGAGTGCACGATAATTGCTGGATTTGTATGGCATTTCTAATTTTCAGGGTTCAAATTTTGCAACTTTGGTCTCCAATAAAAGAACACACGTTTAGAAGAAAAGTTAAATCCTTCAGAACTGCATGCCATAGGAAAGATTATTTTTAAAGCCTGAAAGTTGTAAGAAGCCACTGAAGCCTAAAAGCATGCTCTAGCTTAACAAAGAACCCAAAACAGTAAACATATTAAGGAAAACATCTTACCATTTCTGTCTCTGATGCTGCAGAGAGAAAAAAGTTGCACTTTCAGAAAAAGACATATTGAACTTACAAGGCATATACTTATTCTAGCTTTCTTCAGTTACTCCAAACATTCTGCATTTATTCCAGTCTCAACAGTAGAAGAGTTAAAAACACGCCAGTTCTATCTCAAGTATTTTCCTTTTATGACACTAATTTTTAAACAGACTTCAATCAGCAACTGGTGCAAAGGAGCAACTGCAACGTAAAGCATGTTCTGATTAACAAAAGGAACACGTTTTCCATTACCTTCCCTGCTTTACAGACTTTTTTTAATGAAAGCAACATCACAGCAAACAAAAGTTTTAAAAACCACTTCCCGCAAGCCTGTACTAGGTTTATCATCCATCCATAGGAACGGCACAAAGTTCTCATCAGATTTGTACTTCACACTAGGCAAACCCAGCTGGGGAATGAGAGGGAAGCTTGGCAGAGAAATTCACTCATATGACCTTAAATATATTGTAATACTTGGATCTAAACTATAGCTCAGTATCTCCTCTTCTAAGTATTTTTTTCCTAAAATATTTTGGATTAAATGTTTCCTGTTGCTTCTTTATAACGTGTACTACCATGAAGAGATAATTTTTTTTTTTTGTAATCTTTAAGTTGTAATGAAGAAATCAGAGGGGCTTTTTTTGCTGGTGTATCAGAGAATTAAGAAAATGGCTCAAAAAAGAAAAGATGTGGATAAAGACTCAGGCTAAAACAGGACAACTGAGTTGAACTAGGCAAAACATGGCAAAAAGCAATTATGACATTGTAGAAAAATGTGTATTATAACCTCTTTCCTTGAGGGGGCAGAGAAAGTCGTCAGCCAAGATAACTTTCAGCAGAAATTTGTTCATTCCTACACACCACAAAAGGGTTCTCCTCTCCTTGTTTTTCAGTCAACAGGTTGACATGAACTTGTTCTACTGCCCCATTCTCCAGGGTGCACCATAAAGAGGAGGGAAAGTCACAACAGCTGGAGGAAAAAAACCTACATCCGTTACTCTGTTATACCTGATTAAAATCCACAGGCAGTTTAAGCACTGTGGACGAGTTAACTGTCTGGGGCATCAGTCTGTAGGAAGGTATGAAAGGAAACTCTACTCACTGACTACCACAGATAAGACACTGGAGCAGCAATTAGCACCTAAGGCACTCTCCACATGGAATGAAGGAGTAAAATCCCCAAATTTCCACCTCTTTCCAACTTTATAACCTGCAAGACTCGAAAACTTATTTTGATGATGCTTTTAGAAAGCAAGCTGGCACATGCTTCCACAGGTAAAATCAGTTAGCAGTTGTGTATGAAAGTAAGTTAAAGTTAACAATGATTGTCTGAACTTTAAATAGGCACTCCCCTGTCACAGTTCACTATTACATTAAAAACCTAACATTTATGTTCCTCTAAATCCAAAGTGTTCAGAATGTATATTCTGAGAGACAAGAGACAGGAAAAAGTGGTTTGTTGGGTTTTTTTTTTTTTTTAAAAAATATTCTTTTGTTTTAAGTAAGAGGTAAGCTGTATATCTTTGAAAAACACGACACATCTTCAAAGCACAGGGCATATCAAATCACTTATCAAGTAAATGTGTTTTTCCTTACCGTTTAGTGTTTCTTCACATCTTTTAATCCAAATAGTAAAGGTATCATCTACATCTAGAAGAGATCAAACGCAGTAACATTAAAACTTCAAGCACTACACGTATTGCATAAAGAACAATTCCTCACAATTGCCAACTGGAACAAACCCACCCCAAACTTGCACCAACTCACTAAAAAATTTATTATTTCCTATTATCTTCTTGTAACCTGATTCCAGTTAAGCTTTAAGTATTTTTACACAACTTTACTATTTAACTCTGTTATATTTAAACTAACTTCAAAATAATTTGTAGGACACTGCATTTTGTCTGAAATGACCTAAATATGCTACTGCTTTCCAGTCTGCTCAATCCCTAGTTAACTGTTCAGAAAGCAGTTTTACACATTTTTTCCATTATTCTTAAACTTATTTTTTCAAACAGTTACACACTTCCTCTCTAGATAAATATCAGAAGACACAGCCTGTTCCGAGGACAACCCAAAGTTGCACCGAAGTCTTCACAAACACCAAGTATTTTCTCCTGGTGGTTTCACACAAACTTTACAAACACACCTGAAGTTTCAGGGATGCTAGAAATACATAGGTGCCAATTCCACCCTATGATCAAAGTCACAGAAGAGTTTAGCAAACCCTTGATATTCTAGGGAGTAAGCTCCCCAGATAGAAATTAATTCACTGGAAAATAGCTCAAAAGGCAAAAGTGTATCGATCAGAGTGATCATCCTATCTCAGCAAAAGTCTCAGAAAAATCTTTCACAGTCAGGAAAGTAAAAAAGTGGCAATGACACTGACCAGCTGCTAAGAACAGCTAAACTTTTTCTCTTTTTACAATAGAGAGAATTCACACTGAGGGAGTTCACCCAGCCAACCATCCCACAGAGGGCCTGAAGAGGCTCAACAAAGAGTTGCCAGCAGACATGCATGTAACACCAAATGTGACTCCACTGCAGTTACGCAAAGCATGTGCCCCAACCCCTTCAAATATAAAATGTACATAGATTTTTAAGGTGTGCCTTAGGTCTTAAAATTGCTACTCCACTCCTCAAGCTGTTTTCTCTTCACTTTTCTTCTGCCATATCCACAAGTCATCTTAAAAGCTATCTAAATTTTAAGCTACATAATATCTCTCAGTTGTTGTTAGGAAAAGATAAAAATGCAAATAATAATATGGCTGTCTTAACATTGCAATACAGTCACTGACTGCTGCAGTCTTTTCTATACGCCTAACAAACCCTAGAAAAAGATACCTATTTTCAGAATGAATTAACCAGAACTATCAGAGGGTTCTGTCAGAGGATACAAGGGCGCTCTTCAATCACCTCATGTATACTTGAGGTATGCAGATGATTGACTACAGACTGTCCTCAGAAGTAAACAGGTAAACGAAGCGGGGCAAAGGACCCAAGATGCAGCAAAGTAAATTCTGATTAGATAAGGAAAATTTCTTACCAAAAGAGTGGTCAAACACCGGAGCAAGTTGCCCAAAGAGGCTGTGAAATATTCAGTCTTGGAGATACTTAGAAATCAACAGCAGGAGGACCCGAGCAAACACCGGCAAGTTCAAACTTAATACTGCTTTTGGCCTGGGCACAGAATTAGATGAGCTCCAGAGCTTCCCTGCAACCTAAATTAATCTCTAACTTTAAAACTTAGCACCCATATCCTAAAAAGACTTCCAAGTTTTGCAGCCAGGACCAAAGTCTATTTATCAAAAGTGAAGTTAAAGGAAAGCGGTTCAAGAGTCTAAGCAGAGAAAAACTGAGTAAAGCCTCCACTGATCCAGCCTCCAACTTTCAGCAGTAGGTGAGGAATTCTCTTTTTAGCTATGGCCTATGACAAGACTGCTATGCAACACAAACCTTAAAAGAAAGATCCAGTGTTATCTTCCCTATTTTCCTAGAAGATTCCCCTTGCCAACCACTGCCTCCTTCCCTGCATCCCAGCATATTTTATAATGTGAGGCAAAAGAATTTTTTTTTGTCCTCTGTAATTGCATTATCCCCCCAAAGAACTGACAAAAAACTTCTAATTAGTAGCTTTCTAGTTCAGAAAACCTATCTGGGTCTTCACTTACTAAAAATCTACTAACTTTTAGAATACAAGAAAAGTAGCTATTAAAACATTTCTTTTAAAAGTTGACACATTCCACCTTTACTACATTCATTAGGTGGTCAAAAAAAAAAAAAAAAAAAAAAAATCAACAAAATTTGAGTATAACTGTCCTAAGCCCACATAACATACTGAGGAGTAACAGATCACACTGCTTCTTCAATCTAAGGCAAACTAATAAACTCCAAAAATCCACATGCATCTAGTGTCACAGTTGAGTGAAAGGAATATTGCTTCCTAACGTCACTTTATTTTATAAAGAAACATTGCACATTCAACAATTCATCATGTCAAGTCCTATTTAAATATGCCTATAGATGGGTAATGGGAAGCTTGCTGTGGTACCCTGGGCCTGCCAGTCCTACCGTAATGAGCAGAAGCAGGAAGCTCATCGTTGTTAGCATTCCAGATTGAGATGTAAAACAGCCCTTACATCAGCAACGAAAAGGAACACGTACCGGTGTACTTCTACCCCCTCGTGCGGCAAAGAAACCAGCCTTGCCAGCAAAAAATTCCCCACCACAGCAACCCTCTCTGAGGCAGCAGCAGCTCAAGTCTTCTCTCTTTATCACCTACTTAGCGGTAAGCGGCAAATTTTCCCTCTACGCTTTGTTCATTTGGCACTAGCTGCATTTAACTGGAAGTTAACTGCTTTGGCAAAATGCTTACGCTCACGATTGTTTTCACCTAGGGTCCATCAAACATTCCACAGAACTGCAACAGCAAATTCTGTTACTGACATAAACTTGCCAGCAAACTAGGTAATATATGGAAGAGAATCAACTAAAAAACCTGTATTTTTAAAAAGGCCTTCAAGGAGACACCTCATCTCACAGCAGGTCACGGAATTTTGTAACGAGATACGGGAAGCACAGCGGAAGCTATCTTCAGACGAGAGAGTAATCAGGAAGGACTGGGAAGCTTCAGAAACACTTCAACTGGGTAAGCAGCAAAACAATGGCAAATTAAATTCAAACAGGTAGAAGTCAAGCAATTCAACACAGGAAAACACTGTGCTCTCTTTCAGGGATTCTGAATTAGATGAGAGGAGCTTGGTGACCTGACTCATCTAAAAGACATCTGCAGCTCTGTGTGCTGCTGCACTCTACAATGTAAGTAGGATGTAAGGTTAAACAGAATGAAAACAAAAAGTGCTGCTCTGGCCTGAGGAAATTTTGTGTATAACCCGATTTCGAACAACTCCAACAGACAAAGCAGAAAGGTGACAAAATCCATGCGCATGAAAAGCCCCAAATTGATAGTGGTTGCTTGGGGTGGGGCAAGAATACGAAAAAATATAGATCATTCAATTAAATTGAGGAGTGATGAGTCTGGAGATGTATGAAAAGTTACCTATCAAGTAAGGAAAGCTACAGAAGTCACTGGAAGGAATCACTTCCTTTCACAGGAAGATATTAAATAGAGAACTTGGCGAGATTGCAAAGACACACTTGTCTTGCTAGCGTACAAACTAGCGGAGACTGCCCAGTTATCCAAACTACCAAAACTGAAAGAACTTTCAGAAATTTCTTACATTTTAACTACTATTCCAGAGCAGCCTAAGCTGACAACTAACAGTTGCTGCAATTCCACCACATCCCCCTTCCACCACCATTACCACTGCCCCAACTGCCCTGCCGCTTCACTTCTGCTGTCTTCAGCACTCAGACCCTTCATTGGGCCATTTCAACATGCAACACATCAATTCAGGGGGAAAATATTTTTTAAATAGTAGCTTTCTGCAGACTTAATGCACTGCAAGAAGAGGCTAAGCAAGCCCAAGAGCAGGAAGGAGCATGATCGCTTGGCAGCGAGCACAAATTAGCTTATACTCCCATGAAACTCCAGTTTTAGATCAAACGATCACATCGCTTATTTGGGAGAGGCAAGGTAACGAAATTTTTGCTAAACCTTCAGCCAGTCCCAGCCACCGTTACAGATAAGACAACACACTAGAAAGATCCGAGACCACGACAACGCTTATCCTATTAGCGCACTTTGCCCTGTGTAACCTTTCAAGGTGCTTTTCTTACGATTTCCTTCGACTGTTGGGAAGGGAGGGAATGGAATGAGGAGGGGGTGTTATTTAAAATGGGGAATAGGTGGGAAGAGAGGAGTCACAACCACCTTGCAACTGCTTTGTTGTATCCTTCCCCATGTCTTCCACCAAAGCTTTCTATATTAAACTATTTTGTTCCTGCTTCTAGAATAAAGTTAGGTTTTAAAAAAGCTCTAATTCTCCCCAAACTAAAAAGTGCTCAAGTCCAGTCAACAGTTTAAGGAAAAAGAAAGATATAACAAATATGCTTTTGTAATTAAGTTGTATGTATTGAGAGGTAAAAATCCATTTTGTCAGTTTGAATACCCATCAAGTTGAACGTTCTTCCTAAAAACTGGTCTATCAAACGGTTTAAGTAAGAAATTCCAGCTATGTATAAGGACCCTGTTCTGTTCAAAAACTCTTCTATGACACTTAATGCCACACCATTGCCACCATTTATTTGTAAGACCTCCAGGAAGCACTCCCCATTTTATAAAGAAAAAAAAAGTTACTTGCCAAGAACTTCGATACACATTTTTAAGCAGTTTCACACTTTTATGCAGCAACTGCACAAACCTTCCCAAAAGCCAGACATCTGAAGTCAGGCACCTAATTAATTAGCTTTTAAAAAAAAAAATTAAATGCTTGGTCTTCATTTTCAACTAACACAATCAAAGTTTTTTCTCATTAGCAAAGGAGTACTGTGCACACAAGAAATTCTAATACTTACTGTCCAACCTCTGTCCCTCTCTGAAAGACTCTAAAGCAGATGCATAGTTTTTGATATGATATTCACCTAACCTGACGTGAACAAAGAAAAACACAAGGAAACAGCAATTACTTTTCAGTCTAATCCACATTCTGAAGACCACAACATCCTTAGTTCACACACTACATTGGTTAAAATTATATGTGTAAGAATTTAGACCACCTAAGAGGTGTGCTTCTGAAATGGCTAGGACGTTAAGACAATCACCCCAAACTAAATTGCTTCTTATAACCACAGCTTTATTACGGGTGGGTTACAAGCAGTATGGCATTAAATTTATTCATTCGTGGTGTTGCAAAAAGCTTGTACAGAACCGTAACCCAAATACTCGTATTGCCCTACAGCTTATCACAATATTCACAAAGTACAATATATGATACATACCCTTTTCTAAGGAGTGCTACAGCGTTATTCGGGTTGAGTTCTAGGGACTTCTTTGCATCTGCAACTGCATCTGTTGGAAGTCAGTTTAAAGGGGAGGAACATATTATTATGTTAACAAGCAGTGAAGTGAGTCATTTAGTAGTGAAATTTTTAAGGTGTACTATGTTAGCTTTCTTGGCTTGCACACAAATCACACCATTTGAATGAAATCTAGCCCAGACTGCTACGGATGACCCCTTCATTCAGCTGCAGAGCTCTACATAACATGTAGCAAGACTTTCCTTTAGTCAAATCCTCTACTTAGATCTGAAGAGTGAATATGTTTGTTTGATCGTTTTTTACTGGAAAGAAAACCCAGACCAAATCTTAAGTTATTCAGTTTATCTTTTTTCCTGGGAATTACTCAGTTATCATACTCCTGCCATGACAGGATTCAGTCTCTATCAAAAACATAAGGATGGAAGACGCTTACAACACAAAGCTTAAAATCTGTCTCAGAAGTCTACTTCAGAAAAAAGCTGCCAAGATAATACTAGGCTAAAATCAAATGGAAAGCTGGGACTGCAGAGTGCCCAATTCATTGGAAGTTTTGCAGAAATACAACAAAGACAAAGAAAACTTTAATACTACGCACTAACTGTAAAAGCAGCATATTAAGTTACAGATAACACTTCCTCTTATTACTATATTTGGCTTCAGACTGAAGACATCTTCTGTAAAGAATATGCTATAATACACTTGTAAGAGGATTCTCAGTGTTGTACGAAGATGTTACCAGCATATTTCTGTAGAAGAATATAAGCATAAGCTCGTTGACAGTAATATTCGGCATCATCTGGATTCTTTTCCAAAGCTGTTGTCAGTTCCTGTAAAGACACACAAAAAATGAAACGGCACCTCGGAAGTCCCCATAAAAACATAGTACCAAACTGTCAACTACGAGACATTTCAGAAGAAAATACTCTAACTGGCATGACTGTTTACCTGTTGCTCAGTTCTCATCCACAAAGCTTAAACATCAGAGCTTGAAGTACAAGAAACCTGCCAATGATATCAAATTCAAGGAGCCTCTTTCTTACCGAGAAGGAAACAGGGCTTTCAAATGCTTTAAAGAGGAAGCTTAACGCACAGATGATCCTCATATTGCAAAGACCTTCCTACAATTCTCAGCATATTTGTACACAGTTCTGCTGGATTTGAGGAAGCACTGCAGTATAGGGAATCCGGAACTCAACACGCAGTATGTCAAAACACTTGTCTGGGGATAACGTGCTCGAAGCATTGTAACATGGGATGAAACACCACATTACACGATGTTACTGAGCATAAGAGATTGTTCTGATTTATGCTGAGCACAAAAGCGGGAGAAAAAGAGACTTATGGAGCACAGGGCTCACAGAAAACACGCTTACTTCCATCGTGCAGCAAAGTAGTCCCTTGTTAGGGGAGTCACTGGGTATACAGATTGAAATAATTATACCTCGCTCTCTTATGAGAAAAGTTTATGACTTTTGCATAACCAAATAAAATCACAATGACTCGATGCGCACACCTAGAAAGAGCAACTCCCATTCTCTCCTTACTAGTCAGAGAAATTCTTCTCTTTGCTAGAATAGAGTAAGTCTTCCAAAGCCGCTACAGCACAGTTACTGTTCGCTAAGATGACTTCTACTCAGAATCTAGCAAGCATGAGTGTAGCTAAGACACAGGCTTTCAACCTGCATCAGTATCAGCACAGCACAGCTGCCAAATCTCTGTCCCACCACACCAGAGAAAAAGAAAGAGCAGGACTTTCCTTAGTTTCAATTCAGATCAGTGTCTTGTTCTATTTCACAGACATCACATAAAACACCCAACAGCTGCTTTTAGCATGAATTCTTACCAGTGTAAGATACGCAAATCTATATAGAGGTACAGCACATAAATCTAAAACGCTGGGGGTCTCTGAAGAAAGTGGCTGGCAGTAGACAATTGTAACTTGATTCAGTTGTAGCGATGCCCTCCTAAGACTTAAAAGTCATTCAAAAATGGAAATACTCACGGCTATAGGTATTCCATGTATTAAAATTCGTAAATATTACGCTGAGTGGTGAAGTACAGCTTTTGATCCTTAAAGCCAAGCGGGGGTCTGACTCTGACACCCAACGTTACAGACACTTCATAAGCAGAGTCACTTCTGTGACAGATCACCTCTCACTCCAAACACTACTTCCTGCGATTTACGCAGATGACAGAAGCGCTGACTAGAACCTGCAGACAACATCTGAAAGGATTCTCCTACAGAACTAGCCCTCAACCCAGGACAGCAAAGAAAACCAAACCCAAGCATTTTCAACAGCGCGGAACTCGTCTCTTTGCTGCTCTTTGCTGATTTTTTTATCAGTAAGCCGTCACATCTCATCCAGCCACACACACACAAAAGATGTTACTCCTCTAACACAGGTACTTGAGGGGACATACAATACTCAACTAGCACCAGGAACTCCAGATTATCACAGATGTCAGAAACAGTTACTCAGAACAAGCTTAGACCTCATCTTCACAAACACTCCTGAGTTTTCTACATATTTTGACTCTAAAGGCCCTCACCATGCGACCAAGTTGCAAATCTATTTCTAAATACATTGGGAACTTTCAGGTCCCTCCACGCTAATGGTGAGCATTTGTATGAATTAAAGGTGCTTTTGGTCTCCACACAGTAACTACTTTTTCAACCTAAAATGACAAAAACGTCATTGGAGAGTTCACAGCTTTATCATTCAGATGGTATTTAAAGATAGATGATGATCCTTCAGCCGGATCAGATCTGGGCGCAGAAAGCCGAAGCATGCTCTCCAGGGCTTGAAGGAATCAGAAGTCTGAGGACACAGGGCAGAAATGCTACACCAACTGGACACAAGTCTAGTCAGGGGTTGAAGCACACAGCCCCGTTTATATAGTATTGTGTCCCAGATCAGAAGTATGATGTACATGAGCTAAAAGGCCACACCTAAAACCATGCAAACGTGGTATACCACGTGTAGATCCAAGATTCTAAGTCAGCAAAATGCTACACTGAGCTATGGGACTTACCATTTCAGAGATTATCAAGCACAACCTGCCTACTCAATTCAGTACTTTTAGAAAAGGTTACACTTACACAAGTGACACCAGTGTCACTGCCTCTGATTTTAAATAATGTCTATAGAATGTCTTCCATATTGGTTTGAAGCGCTAAACGTACAAAGAACCGAAATATAAACCAGAAAAGCAAAGCAGCTACGTTAATATAGAAAAAAAAAAACCAAAACTGTATTCTGATAGTATTCTCTAATACTTCCATTGTTTGTTTTTTTTTTAATTTGTTTGTTGGCATTTCCACCCTTCCCACCAATGGGAAACATACTTCTTTTTTTTTTTAGATCTTAAATTAGTTTTACTATGCCAAATACATTTGGTTATTCTGACTTGCTTTTTAGATGTCATTTATCTTCTGAAAAACCTCTACAAACTACAGCCTAAACCCCAAAGAACTGTAAGACTTAGCTTCACCATTTTATGGAAAGATAATTCAGCTATCATCCTATGCTTCTGCCACCTACTCTATTCAGAGCTAACCATTTACATTCTCTCGCCTTCCAAGTACATTAAACAGAAATACTTATCCACCCTCCAGTTCTGCCTTCTCATTAACCCTTTAACTAAAAGCCATCTTTGAAAGCACATTAATAGATGCTAACAGGTAAAATCACAGAATCATAGAACAGGCCAGGTTGGAAGGGACCTCGAAAGAGCATCTCATCCCATCTTTCATGGAAAGGGGAGCCCAGATGAGATTATCTAGCACCCTGTCTAGCCGTGTCTTGAAAATCCCCAAGTGATGAGAACTCTACCGTGACCATGGGGAGGCTGTTCCAGTGAACTACCATTCTCACTGTAAAAAATTATTTTTTTCTATCAAGACGAAATGAAAATCAGTTCTGGTCCCCACAAACAGCAGAAAAAACAGATCAGGGCAGAATAAAAACTAATGAAAACTGAATAAATTTCTCTAATAAACTTGGGGCTTTTTAAACCACAAATTCAGTTATTTGAACTACCACCTACCTACATGAAGGGAAAGCTGGTTCGGTTTGGGGGTTCCCCCCCCGCTTCTTTGCGACACAGGTAGCACAAGTCTCCTGACAGAACTGCCCTGAGCTCCTCTACAGCCAGACCTCACACGGGAGGCTCCCAGGGCAACTCCTGCCAGCCGCCCGCCCGCAGCAAGGGCAACCGCACGACGCCTCAGCTGTTCCCCTCGCCCCCGAGAGCGGCACGGCTCGCTGCGAGCGCCGGCTCCCTCCGCCACCCCACA